ACTCGCCTGCATGAAGCCGGAATCGCTAGTAATCGCCGGTCAGCCATACGGCGGTGAATTCGTTCCCGGGCCTTGTACACACCGCCCGTCACACTATGGGAGCTGGCCATGCCCGAAGTCGTTACCTTAACCGCAAGGGGGGATGCCGAAGGCAGGGCTAGTGACTGGAGTGAAGTCGTAACAAGGTAGCCGTACTGGAAGGTGCGGCTGGATCACCTCCTTTTCAGGGAGAGGTAATGCTTGTTGGGTATTTTGGTTTGACACTGCTTCACACCCAAAAAGAAAGGAGCTACGTATGAGTTAAACTTGTCGACGGAAGTCTTCTTTCGTTTCTCGACGGTGAAGTAAGACCAAGCTCATGAAAAAGAAAGAGATGAAAAATAGAAGGGATAGATACAAAATTACCACCAGTCGTAAGCCGTACTTTTTCTTCAAACGAAACCCATAAAGACGAAACAGAAGTATCAAGCCTAAAATGAGTATTGCAAAAAGCACGAGATTTTTACCTGTGGTCATTATAGCGGTTCCTTCTGATCCTAGAAAACCTCCGAGAAAGGAGGCTAGGAAACTACCGGAGAGAGCAAAAAAGAAAGATAATAACTGTTGCCTAGTTTTCATCATCATATTATATTAAAGTCAACGCACTTTCTTGTAGAAAGGTATCTAGTTCTCTTTTTTTTCGTCAGTTAACCCACTTTTGAGTTCTTCTAGTAATTCTGGTTTGATACTATTTGTAATGATTCTTTCATATTGAGTAATTCTGTCTAGTGGCATTCGATCACAGAATCCATTGACAGCAGCATAAATGACTAGAATTTCTTTTTCAATTGGTAGTGGTGTATATTGTGGTTGTTTTAGTACTTCTGTGAGCCTTGCTCCTCTATTGAGTAATGCTTGAGTTGCAGGATCAAGGTCTGATCCAAATTGAGCAAAGGCAGCGACTTCTCGATATTGTGCCAATTCTAGTTTTAAACTTCCGCATACTTTTTTCATAGCTTTTAACTGAGCAGCAGACCCGACGCGACTGACAGATAAGCCGACGTTAATAGCAGGTCTAATTCCGCGATAAAAGAGTTCTGTTTCTAAACAGATTTGTCCATCAGTAATGGAAATTACATTTGTAGGAATATAAGCCGATACGTCTCCAGCTTGTGTTTCAATGACTGGTAAGGCGGTCAAGCTCCCTGCACCTGTCTGGTCCGATCGTTTAGCTGCTCTTTCTAAGAGACGTGAATGCAAATAAAAAACATCTCCTGGATAAGCTTCACGACCAGGTGGTCTTCGTAATAGAAGAGACATTTGTCGATAAGCGACGGCCTGTTTACTAAGATCATCATAGATTATTAATGCGTGCATTCCATTATCACGGAAATATTCTCCCATGGCACAGCCAGAATATGGGGCCAGAAATTGCAGAGGAGCAGGATCCGAAGCGGTGGCTGCTACAAGAATGGAATATTCCAAAGCATTCGCTTCTGAAAGAATTTGAACTAATTGTGCCACAGTTGAACGTTTCTGTCCAATCGCTACATAGACACAATACAATTTCTCACTCTCAGAGGTGGCCCTTGAGTTCATTTGCTTTTGATTTAATATGGTATCGATAGCAATAGCTGTTTTTCCAGTTTGTCGGTCCCCAATTATAAGTTCTCGTTGACCACGGCCTATAGGAACCAAGCTATCTACCGCTTTTAACCCTGTTTGCATAGGCTCGTGCACAGATTTACGTTCAATAATCCCAGGGGCTTTCACTTCGACACGTCTTCGCTCGTGATCGCTTAGAGCTCCTCTTCCATCAATAGGTACTCCCAAGGCGTCGACCACACGCCCTAGCATAGCCTTTCCCGCAGGAACATTCACAATAGATCCAGTTCGTTTGACAAGATCTCCTTCTTTAATAGCCGTATCACTACCAAAGACAACAATCCCCACATTCTCATTTTCAAGATTCAAGGCTATTCCTTTCACACCGCTGGCAAATTCGACCATTTCACCAGCTTGAATCTCGTTCAATCCATAAACACGTGCAATCCCATCTCCAACCGAAACCACGCGACCAATCTCATCCAACTTCAAATTGGTAGAAAAGTGAGTCATTTTACTTTCTAATAGAGTTGCTAGTTCTGATGCTCTTGAAGAGAATTCCATAATTTAATTAAAAAAAAAAATTTTACTTTAAGAAATAAGAATTTCTTTCTTTTTCAGAGTCAAGGAGCAATGCCTCCGCTGATAGATCCCGCCCAGGCTTGTGCGGGTCGGTCTATGCGGACATATCTGGATCAATGCGTTGGAACACCTTCCCTTTCAATTTCTTATAGGAAGGTGATTGCACTCCATTCGTCTGCAGGTCCTCCAATAGGGCATAGAGTTTCCCCACGGACTCCTCCCCCGTGGCGGTACGAGGATTATCGAGAGCTCTAGCTCCTCGTCCCATCCAATCTCCCGTTGGGTCAAGGACCGCCATGAGTTTTATAATCTCAACCTTGACCTCGAATAGGTCTTCGGTGTGAATCCGAGCCATTTGTATGTCCTCGGAAGAGGGATTGGAGTCTTTCGCCAAAAGGCGACGTTCGATGGAGAGAACACAATCCCCCCTATCACTTCATCCGGTTGATACGGATAGGGGACCACTCGTTGGGTCTGATTAGCCGGACCAGCTTCCTCCCCCGGGGAAGCGACTGGATCTCCAGAAGTTTGGGAGGAGTCGGCCGCCTCTGGGTTTACTGGTCCAGCTCTAGGTTGAGTCACAGACGTGCCCGTTTCAACAGACGTGCCCGGCACAGACGAAGATCCCAACAGGATATCGATTTCTCTGGGATCCTCTATCCACGGGGCCGAGTTGACTTGGCCGGAAGGGGCCGGAAGAGGCAGTCCTTGACCTTCCCCCACACAAAAAATTATAAAAGG